CTGTAGCTCAAGTGGTAGAGCGCTCGCCTTGAGCTGAAGAGCTGAGGGACAGCGCCCAGGCCCAGAGTTCAAGCCCCACGACCGACAAAAAAAAAAAGACTCTTATCTCCAATTAACCACCAAGAAGCTAGAAGTAGAGCTGTGGCTGAAATGGTAAATCACCAGCCTTGAGCATAAAAGCTAAGGAACAGCACCAAGGCCCTGAGTTCAAGCCCTAGTACCAACACACACACATACAAAAGTTTTGATGTAGGGTAACTATATGACCCAGTAATTCCACTCTTAGGAATAAAAAATGAAAACACAGGGGAAAAGGAAGAAAGGGGTGACACTAATAAAGATGCGTTATATTCATAAACTGCTTTGTCGAATGGCAACTCCTTTGTACAACTACTTAAAGATAATATTTAAAAATGGGAAAAGAAAAAAAAATGAACCCGTGTCCACACAAAAATTTGCATGCAGTTTTGTTTGTAGCAGCATTATTAGTATACAACCAAACTATCCATCAACTGACATAAACAAAATATAGGCTGTCTATATACTAGAGTAATATCCAACTATAAAAAGAAATAGGGGGTTTTATTACTCATCCACCCCTACATATAGGAAGTTTAGCTTGTATACATGTGAATATATTGAAGATATATGTACTTACATAAATTTAATTTGTGAATATATTAAAAATCATTTAATTATATGCTTTAAATTATAATCATGCTTTGTCAATTATATTTCAGTAAAGCTGGGGGGGTGTTTGTTTGGTTTTTGGTTTGTTGGGGTTTGGAGTTTTTGTTGGTTTTTTTTGTGTGTGTGTGCTAGTCCTGACGCTGGAACTTAGGGCCTAAGCACTGTCCCTAAGCTTTTTTGCTCAAAGCTGATAATCTACTTCTTGAGGCTTTTTTTTTTTCTTGCAGTTTTTTGGAGATCAGAGTCTCATGGACTTTCCTGCCCAGTTGGCTTCTAACCACCATCCCTAGACCTCAGCCTTCTGAGTAGCTAGGTTACAGATATGAGCTACCAGTGGCCAGATTGTTTTTATTTGTTTGTTTGTTTTCTGTTTTTGAAAAAAAAACATTGTCTGGGGTTACATTCTTGAATGCTGTAATTAGGAAGATTTTTGGATAAATTAGGATATTTTTGCATAAAAAGGAATGCATTTGCTGGGTGCCGGTGGCTCACACCTGTAATCCTAGCTACTCAGGAGGCTGAGATCTGAGGATTGAGGTTCAAAGCCAGCCTGGGCAGAAAGTCTGTGAGACTCTTATCTCCAATTAACCACCAGAAAACCAGAGTGCTGCTATGGCTCAAGTGGTAGAGCTGAAGAGCTCAGGGACAGCACCCATGACTGACAAAAAAAAAAAAAAATGGGAATTCATTTACCTAATATAACAGACTAATGAATGATTGGACCTCCTTATTAGATCGTATTAAAGGAGTGTGCCTAACACAGGAATACAGCAGCACCTACCAACTCATTATCAGATTATCTGGTGTATTCATCAAGGGTCAACCAACAATGAACCCCTAGCTCTGCTGATTTGGCCTGATGCACTGAATAAGCCTGGAACCAGCTCTGTGCTTTCACACCTTGTACCACAACAACTTTATGTCTGGGTTCCTTAAGTTAATGTCTTCTCTAACCAGCTACAGTGACTCTCTTTTCATCTGTACCAATTTTGTGGCTCAAGGCACAGGCCCTTAGTTCAGACCCCAGTACCACTAAGAAAGAAAAAACAAACAAATTGATTTGGTACTGGAAGTGTGGCCCAAGTGGTAGCTTCAAGCACAAGGCCAGCATTTAAATCCAGTACTGGAAAAAAAAAGGAGAAAATACTACTAGAAAGGAATGATGGTGATAAAAGACATTACTAATTAATTAGATGCTTGTAACAAAGATGGGCCTGATAATAAAGACTCCATAAATATTGTTGTTATTGTGTTTATTTTAGTTCTATGTTTTAGAAAATCACTAGATCTGTGTCTTAGAAAAATCACTTAGGCAATAATGTATAGAACAGAAGAAAATGGAATAAGACTAAAGGCAAGATTATTTGGCATACATTTGTGGTAGTGAAGATAGGATTGTAGTGCCATTTCAGGAGCAAGTTTTGGTTTTGTTGCCCTAATAGTTTGGTTTTGCTCACATTAGTTGGGAATTTATTTTGCTTCCATTTTCTCTTGATAGAAGCAGTACCAAAAGAAGTCAGGCATTACGCCATGAACAGCATGTACAGAACATCCGCCGATTTCATGAATCCCTGCAACAGGGAGAGGCAATCTTGACAAGAGATGACAAACAGACCACATCACCTTTATCCTCCCACACTTCCATTCTGACTTCTCTCAGGTAAGTTTAGGAAAATACACAGGAAAACAATTGTGTATGGAACACAAGGTGAATTGGTAGTGGCAATATGCAGTACTGCATTTCCATCAATTAGCTCTGCTCTGGAAGGTTCAGTAGAGGGAATCTCATGCACGTCAATGTTAGGTTGGATCCTCAACAGATTCCTCTTTCTCAGCTCAGGTCTTTTACTCCTTCATTGGATTCTATTACTGATTAGTTAAACAGTTCAAATTTCCATCAACAAATGGCTGAACAGAAAATCAGTTGTGGTATATCAATACAATGAAATACTCAAAAATAAAAATAAATTATTTAGAACAGAATGAATCTCAATTATACTAGCAGAAGCTAGAATAAAAGAATACACTATATAAATGATTTGTTTATATAAAGTTCTCAAAAATGAAATCTAAAGCTGGGCATTGATGGTGCACGTATGTAATCCTAGCTAATCAGAAGGCTGAGATCTGACGATTCAAATTTGAAGCCAGCCCAGGCAAACAAATCAAAGAGACTCTTCTCTCCAACTAACCAGCAAAAAGCCAGAAGTAGAACTGTAGCTAATGTGGCATAGAGCACCAACCTTGAATGAAAAAGCTAAGGAACAGTTCCCAAATCCTGACTTCAATTCCCAGTACAAGCACAAGAAAAAGAAGGAATGAAAAAAAAAAGACATCTACTTCCTTAATAAACATAGTCAAAAATTCTCAGTATGTTAGCCTGGAGTAGGACTTTCACTCTACCAAAGAAGACAGGTTTGGTATAATAGTCAAGAATGGTTCCTCATAAAAAGATTACATCTTGGGGGCTGGGAAGGTGGCTCAGTGGTAGAGCGGTTGCCTTGCATGCTCAAGGCCCTGGGTTCGATTTCTCAGCACCACATAAGCAAAAAGAAAAAAGCCGGAAGTGGCGCTGTGGCTCAAGTGGTAGAGCGCTAGCCTTGAGCTGAAGGGCTGAGGGACAGCGCCCAGGCCCAGAGTTCAGGCCCCACGACTGAACCCAAAAAAAAAAAAGATTACATCTTAGGGGCTGGGAATGTGGCTGAGAGGTATAGTTGCTTGCTTAGCATTCATGAAGCCCTGAGTGTGATTCCTTAGCACCACATAAACAGAAAAAGCTGGAAGTGGCATTGTGACTCAAGTGATAGAGTGCTAGCCTTGAGCAAAAAAAGCTCAGGGACGGTGCTCAGGCCCTGAGTTCGAGCCCCAGGACTGGCAAAAGAAAAAAAAAGAGATTGCATCTTTACTAGACTTCAGAGAGGACCTACATGAGCAAGAAAGAAAAGGAACAAAGTTGTTCTTGACATCAGGGTTTGTGATCAGAGAGATAATGGATGAATGGTGGGGTGGAGAGAGAGAACACTTTATTAGTAGGTCAAGTAAAAGGTAGTGTTAGGTCCTGGCTCAGTTGTTATATAAAAGATTCTTTTGTTCTCCTTGAATGGCCCTTTTATAATCATCCCCTAACACCACAATTCCCTTCTTTTCCAGGAAGAATCTGAGTGAGCTAGATCAGATCCAGCAGTACTTCAACCAGAAGCTTAGCAGACCTTCCCTGCCTCTTAGCCCTCCCACTCATCCTGCCATCATACAATGCCTGGAGAGCCGTAAGGAACATCTCAGACCAGCAACCAGCAGCCTAGACCCTGAGAGCCAGTGCATCCTAGAGAAATCCAGTAGCCTGGTGTTACAAGTCAGCTCCTTAATCGCAGGTATGACTTGAGGTCTTGTTTTTTTCCCAACAGTTATGGTCACTAGATGCCAATTCAAAAAGCATTAAAATATCTACCTTCACTCAAACCTGTATGACAAACAGAAACAACAGTTTTTACATCTTTCTCCTTTTTAAAATGACCGACAAAAAAAAACAATAGTACAGCAAAGGATCATGGGGCAATAAAAGAGCATTGGACTGAGAGGCAGGAGAGCCAGGCCCTTAATAGGTTTCGGGCATATATGTCCTGAGAATATCTTTTCCCTTCTAAACTCTGTGGGGGGGGGGGGTTCGGG